ACAGCTGTCAGGCGTTCAGTCAGCGCAGGTGTAGTTAGGGATCTTCTGGAAGAGCTAGACATTTTTAAACCTGCAGGTCCAGATGCCCTCCACCTGAGGGTGTTGAGGGAGCTGGCAAGGGTCATCGCGGAGCCCTTGGCTCAGCTGTATGAGCATTTGTGGTCATCTGGCCAGGTGCTGGGGGATTGGAAACTGGCTAATGTGGTCCCAATTTTTAAGAAAGGGAGGAGGGAGGACCCAGGTAACTATAGGCCTGTAAGTCTCTGCTTGGTGCTTGGGAAGATCTGGGAGAGAATCAAGGAGCACATCTGTGGGGGGCCAGCAGGGGAGATCATGCTCAGGAACAATCAGCATGGGTTCATCAAAGGCAGGTCCTGCCTGACCAACCTGGTTGCCTTTTATGACCAAGCAACTAAATCCTTGGATGATGGTGTCGCCGTGGACGTAGTCTTTCTAGACTTTAAGAAGGCCTTTGACACCATCCTCTCACCCCATCCTCATCAATAAATTAAGCAACTGTGGCATTGATGCCTATACAGTTGGATGGGTAAAAAAATTGGCTGATAAGGTGCACCCAGAGAGTAGCGGTAGATGGGCTGTACTCAACCTGGTGAGATGTGAGCAGTGGGGTACCCCAGGGCTCGGTTCTCGGGCCCGCATGTTAAACATCTTCATCAGCAACTTGGACGAGGGGGTGGAAAGCACGCTGTCCAAGTTTGCTGATGACACTAAGATGTGGGGCGAGGTGGACACACTTGAAGGGAGAGAGAGGCTGTAACTAGATTTAGACAGACTACAAAAGTGGGCAGACGAGAATAGGATGGGGTTCAGCGTAGACAAATGCAGGGTGCTGCACCTTGGGAGAAGGAATCCACAGCATACACACAGGCTGGGGAGTTCCCCTCTTGAAAGCACAGAGGCGGAACAGGATCTTGGAGTCATTATTGACTCCAAGATGAACATGAGCCATTAATGCCAGATCGCAGCCAGCAAGGCCAGTCGCCCCTTGTCACGTATCCAAAAGTGCATTTCAAGCCGGTCCAGAGAGGTGATACTCCGCCTCTTTGCCACTGTGGTTAGGCCGCAGTTGGAGTACTGCATCCAGTACTGGGTGCCGCACTTCAAAAGGGACGCGGCCAGCCTAGAGAGGGTTCAGAGGAGGGCCACCCACTTGGTGAGAGGGCAGCAGGACAGGCCTTATGAGGAGAGACTGAAGGACCTGAACCTGTTTAGCCTCAGCAAGAGGAGGCGGGGGGGGGATGGGGGACGGACCTGGCGGCTGTCTACAAACTCATCAGGGGAGATCAACAGCAAATAGGTAGAGCCCTTTTCTCCCCAGCACCACCTGGGGTGACAAGGAACAATGGTAATAAGCTGACGGAGAACAGATTTAGGTTAGAGATCAGAAGGCAATTTTTTTACAGTTAGGGTGGCCAAAATCTGGACCCAACTTCCCAGGGAAGTGGTCATCATCCCTACCTTGGGCAAATTCAAGAGGAGGTTGGATGATCACCTGTCTGGGTTCTTGTAAACCCAGCATTCATTCCTGTCTGTGGCAGGGGGTCAGGCTAGATGATCTATTCAGGTCCCTCCTGACCCTAGCTACTATGAAACCATGACACATCCCACCCACAGCTAACTAAATCCAAAATTTATCTTTAAAAAAAAAAAAAGGACATTTTCTTGGATGATTCAGTGCAAAGTGCATCAGTGGAAGAGAATAAATTATGTTGCCTAGATCTCAAGATAAGGAAGCCTGTTTTGGAATGCTCTATACTGTTTTCTATTAGAAGAAATATCTGCATTTCCAGGTAATATTTAGCCTTTAAGATAGCTGTAGTAGATTTAAAGGACTCTCTTTTAAAAACAATATTTAGAACTTTAAGTCCTGATTAATGATGCTTTTATCAGGCAACATTTATTTAATTTAGAACTGCTTGAAAGAGAAGTTTGAAATATTTTGGCAGAATCAAGCATTTGGAAAATAAGTAAAATTTTGCATGGAAGTTTCACATGCTTGTTTAATGACCCAACTCTACCTAAAAGAAAGCAGTTCTTAGAAATAAAAAGCCATATAATCTGCTGTATTTATAAATTACTGGCAGGAGTTCTTTGTATAATTTGTTATGAACTGACATCAACAGTAGTTTAATCCCTAGTCTTTAGAGAAAAAGCATAAATTTATAATCACTGTACTTAATATAGACATCAAACATTACCCTCACTACTATCCCATCCAAAACTCCGTGTAACATCTGTAGTTTCAATTGCTCTTTTTTTGCTGGTTTGCAATAAAACAAACAGTCTTTGAAGTTGGTAAGGAATGCTTGTCACCGGATCTTCTTCAGACTCTTCAAATTCCCACCTATTAACAATATAAAAAACATTGGAGTAGTAGCTGAAGCAGTTACGTTTTGCGTAACGGGATTTAATTTATGAGAAATTATCTTGCTCATTGAAGTTTGCAAGATTATAAGAATTAACTGAAGCCCAATAATTTAGCTTAACAAGAATCATAATTTTTCTTTAAGTTTCATAAAGACACCCCCAGCAGCCAACCTCAAAACTAGACACATTTTTAAAAATAACCAAAGTTTTAAAAAAGGTCAATTATTTTAGAATCATCATTTTCACTGCTGCTGAACATTATTTCTGCTTATTTTTTAAGGTAAGGTTTATTTTTAAATCTGATGGCCATTGGACATGGTAACTTTGTTATTGCAGGTCTTTGCTGCAGTTACCAGACTTTCACAGGACAAAAGCTATAGTTGTACCTTAATTTAGAAAACTGCCTTATGCTTCTTGATACAATGAACTCATATTAAAAGCAGATACATCTACTTTAAAATAAACTTGCTCAAAATTTGCTTAATAACCTGTCCTCAGTAATAACTTGTTGGATTTAGCTCTATTGCTTTTTATTATTCAAACTACATAAGAGTACAAGACAATATCTGAAATGCCCAGGAAACAAGAACCTTTAACATACTTATGCCTTTCATGTAACATACAATGCGTGACTCAATTTTTAAAACCACTTCAAATGAAGCACAGTATAGTAGAATATAGTACTCAGCAATTTTTTTAAAGGCTACATCAATATGAATGCTTCTAGCTTGGCCTAGAGCAGGGGTGGGCAAAATACATCCCACAGAAGGACTTTGCTCAGCCCACAGCGGGTCCCTTGGTCCTTCCTGGCCCAGGCAGCATCCTGCCTGTGGAGAAACCCTGCACCCCCTGGGTATGCAGCAGGGATGCAGCAGCCCAGCCCTGTGGTACTGGCAGGGACCCACACACACAGCCCCAGCTTCAGCCCGCCCTGCACCCACTCCAGACTTAATCTGGTGGAGAGGACCAGCAAGGACCTGTGCACACAGCCCCAGCTCCAGCCAGACCCATGCCTGTTCCAGACCTGCCCATCTATGCTGAGCAGCAGTGGCAGCAGCTGGGCAGAAGTTGCTGCTACGTGCAAGGGAAAAGAAACTGCTTACCCCTCATGGGCCCTTCTTGCTGCAGCTGCCCACAGCCCGCGCATGGGATGCCCTGTGGCTCCTCGCATTGCAAGTGCTGCCCTCTTGGATGGCCTTGAGATGGCAGGGAGAAGCTGCAGGGCAGTCCAGGCACAGGCTCCAGGTGGCTGTGGCAAGAAGGGCCCAGCAGTGGTGAGGGGGAGCGGCTGCTATTTTCCTGTGCCAAGCAGCAGCTTCTGCCTAGCCGCAGGTGCTGCTGCCACTGGTCAGCATAGGCAGGTAGTTCAAAGCATGTGTGGGGCGGGCTGGGTTTGGGGCTGTGTGTGGGTTCTGGCTGGTCCACTCTGGCAGGGGTGAGTCTGGAGCAGGCAAGGGGTGGGCAGGGGCTGGGGCTGTATGCTGTAAGGAGCAGCAGGGCCCATGGCTCTGGGCTATTGTGAGGGTGGGGCGAAAAACTGACCAATCCACAGCAGCTCCCCAGAACTGCCTATGTGGCCCATGGGCCCAAATAATTGCCTGCCTCTGATCAAGAGCCAGGGTGTCAAACATCCAGCCTGTGGAGCCTTGCCATTTGTCCTGTATTCTGGAGATGCATCAGTGGTCACCCTATCACTACACCCCAGGCTCAATCAGTGCATGAGCCCACAGTTGAAATCTAGCCCAGGGCCCCAGGTTAATTCAAACTTCCCCTGGCTTAGAGGGTCAAAAAGAGGAGAAAATTAATTAATTAAATAAACAAACACTAGAACTTGCTTCAAAAGCAAGTTCTCCTCTTGTTTTCCTTGAAATGTTTGCTCCTTTGATCTCAACAGTCTGCCCACTTTGGAAAAAACCCTGCATTCCCTGAACACCCAAAGCTGCCAACGTTTCAATGGATCTGCATTTCTAAACAAAGGCCAACACAAAAAAAATCCCTGAAACCTGCAGCACAGTAAATTACCACCATTATTTTTTAATATGTCAACATTAAACAAAGCCTAGAACAGCAGCCGACAACATTCTGGAGCTGCAGGCCAGAACAGCCTCCAGCATGGGCAAAGACTTGTGCTGCCAACACATCACAGCTCCTCGCTGCCTGATCCCGGTACACGCACAGGCAAAGCCCCCACCAACCACCAAGACGCCAAAGTTCCCTGGCTCCACCTGCCAGATCCAATGGCTCCGTGGGCTAGATGTGGACTGTAAGTCATGTTGCCAACCCCTTGGCCTAGACTATATAACTTGAATAATACATAGACTATACTTACTTGTATAATGCATTTCTGAATTCAGGAGTCATGAAAAGTGTTTGTAGAAGACTGTTCAGATAACAAGTCATTGCTTGATTTACTAATCCCACATAGCCTAAGAAGATACAGATAAAAGTTGAAGATAAAAATAGTAACTTTTTTCACTTCTAAGAAGCCAAATGACATGAATGAATGAATGAAGATCAAAAACCAAAGACAAATGCTGTCATGAAAACCCCATGTCTCTGAACCAATCAGCAATTAATGACATAAGCTCTACAATTTGTCATTAATCATTCACCTAGGATAATATTAAGACTAAAGGCAAAAAGTTGTGAACTTCTCTCACAAACATTTCTTGGACTCAGGAGCATATTTTTAAATGATTCTGTCGAGCAAAATTCATACATTTAGATTTTACTAGGTGCACAGTTAAGCTCAGTTGTTTTGGGATATTCTTCAAAAAAGTATTTGAATGAAGTTTTGAATGAAACTTCAAGAATTCAGTGCAAGTCTGCTGTATAGTATAGCAGCTGTCCACCAACTGAACACCACTTTGTGCTGATTAATGAATAAATAGCCTCTAGAGCACAGGTGGCCAACCAGTGGCAAGTGCTACAAGTGGCAAAGGCAGCTGCAGTAAGTGGTATTCAAGCCTGAGGGATTCAGTAAACAGAGGCATTAGAGCTAGGGAGTGGGGAAAGGCGGAAGGAAGCTGCTGTGAGAGGTGGCATCAGGTGTCACTGCCAAGATCCAAAATAACCCTTCCCTAGCCCTGCAACTTCCCTTCCCCAAATTCATGGCTATGAATTCTCAATCACCACATAAAACTGTGGCAGTTGTGGGAAAACAGAAGGGTTAGCCTCGCTTTTGATGGCGATACCTCTATCACAATAATGTCCTACAGCCACTCCACTCCGCAGGGCCTTGAAGTTCATATCCCTTGCCTCTGTTTTGACACCTAAAGGCACAAGCTCTATCTGGTACCCCTCTGGAGAGCAGAGATAAGAGCAATACTTTCCCCCTCTTGTAATGACTGGTTAAAAATAACTACTATATTCACTATCAAAAGTTTTTCTCCTCAACTCATAAAGCATATTCACCTAGATGAACTATATGATGCAGCAGCAAGATCAGCTCTCAGTGCTCTCTAAAATTTGTAGCACGTTGAGGATTTTAAGTTTCTGGTCAATATTAAAAAGTTAAACATGTATACTGATACACACAGCTACATAGACATTTTGAATGTTTATTTTTATACCATTACATTTTGTATGCTGAAGCTGTAAGTGGCAAGAAATCCAAGAGGTCAATGCCATACTCATAGCATAACAGGCAACTATACTTTTCAATGACATGAGAGGATTTTTGTGAACAGGGACAGAACCGAGTTGTTTGTTAAATGATTTCATAAGTTGGTATTTCAAATATAGCACATAAAATATATCTGCCCATATAACACGATTCAAACCAACAAACAAATGCAGATACCAACAAGAGCACCATCAAAACAAAATTATTAGTTGGAGGTACGAATGGTCAGAAATTGGAATGTAAGAGGAATAAAACTTTAGAAGCACATTAGCCTCAAGCAAACCTTTACTTTAATCAAAAACCACTTTTGAAGGAAAACACCTTTGCGCATATAACAATGCCATGCGAGTCAAGGACAAGACATTACTGTCTTTTTGCAACAATATGAGAACCATCAAAAATACTGTATTTACTCAAATACAAGATGAAGTTGCCCCCCCCACAGTTGGCATGGGGGGGGGAAGCCCCACAACTTCTAATAACATACAACAAAATCTCACTAAATACACTATCATTAAACTGCTGCCAAAAGCAGCATGTTCTCAGCAATGGAAACCAACTGTGAAGCTGATTAAATGCAGCCAACACTGAGCATGACTAAAACGCATGGCCTACACTGACCAAACATCTTGATAGGAGGCAACCGCAGGAATGGATTAGCATACCCCATTTAAATAAAACCTGGCAGTGGCTATGAAGTGCAGTTCCCCTCACTACCAACTCTTTTTCCAAGTCATGGTGAGCCATGGCACTGTATACAGTTCACTCAAAACCCATCAGCTCCTCTCAGCCTGCTGCAGGGTTAGTGTGGCCCCACTCTCCATGTGGTGAAGCTAAACCAGGTTGCCTTGCACCTTATCTGCATATAAATTTTTGGCGCATACTAGGACTTGAGCCAAGAACACCCAGTTCCAGTCATGAGTGGAGACTAGCAGATGCATCCATTGGGAGGCGGAGAGATATCTCTGAAGTGTGTACACATACACACACACAGAGCAGTGCTGAGCTGTGGGGTCACCATAGCTTGAAATGTTGTCGACTTTGGTGAGGCCCAGCCCAGTGAATTCTGTGCTAAGTCACAAGCCTTTGGCCTTGGACTAGTATCACGAACAGTTTGTACTACATATACGTGGGTGGTAAAGTGGTGCTCAAAAGTGTGTTTACACAGTACCGGTGCTAAACTTGGAGTGGTCTCAAAAAGGTAGACTGCATCAATTCTGGATGAACTGTGTCTATGGGTACCTCCAGTAATTGGTTTATATGGTAAATTATGTTTATTTCAAGGTTTATTTCCTAATCTGCCCCTCACTTCCATGGTCCCAGAGAGAGCAGCATCTAATAGTAAGGAAGCAGGGAAGGGGCAGAGCAGAGAGCAAGAGGGCTACCTGATCACCCAGATTTATTTTCCCTGCTGTAGCAGTGGGAGGGAGACAAATTCAAGTCAAACCTCCAATAGCTGGAGTCTATACCTGGAAAATTTATAATTTTTACATAAATAGAATCTAATTATTTTGGGGTTGTCTTATAATCAGGATCATCTTCTATTTGAGTAAATACTATAAATGAAGTATTTAATCTAACATGTAAATGTATTTTTTGAAAACTGCAATTGACTTCAAAATAAACTGGAATCCTGCATCCTTAATGCAATTTAAATTTTTTTTTAACAATTAGCTGTTTAAATTATCTTTATCAAGCAGATTAAAATAAAGTAGACAAAACAATAACATACCTGTCTCTGATTTAGTCAGGATTGAAGAGTATGAGTAGTTTTGACTAACGTAATCACTGGTACAACCAACAGAGCCTTCTCTTGGAAGAGGACCTATAAATCTATCTTGTGTACCATCATCTGTTGAACTACATTCCTGCTAAAATTTGAGTATACAATGATTTTAGGCAAAAATATTTAAATCAAACAATTTTTTCAAGTTAATACTCACTTCTATAGTCTTACTATGGGCTTACACACACACACACCATTTTTAAGTATCAACAATTCAATTTTGTTCAAGTCAAGCACACAAAATTTAGAGAATGTCAGATCTGTTTGCTTTCGAAACATTAAATCTCCACACCACCCACCTTTAAAGCCCATTCTTTCCTGAAGATGACAGATGGATAACAGAATGCAGCATGTGACTATGACATTAGAGATTGCTATAATACATGTATACAAATGGGCAAAAATAAAGTTGTGTGGACAACCAGAATTCTAACATTCTCTGGTTTTCAAGTGTTTGAACTTAAAATGTTCTTGGATTTCATATGTAATTACTATACAATTTTTAGGGTGTTTTTAAAGGGAAAATATGCACGTGTGTGTATATTAATATAAAATACACGCACACTTTCCTTTTAAAAACACCCTAAAAATTGTATAGCAATTGCATATGAAATCCAAGAAGTATGCGTGTGCATATATATGCTAGAGAAATAATTAGCTATATATCATTAGCAAGGTTTAAAATCCAAATTTTCAGCACCACAGCCTTCTTCTACCACTTGGCTTCAGGACTATGATGCAGCAGCTAGTACCAGGAGAAGAATGCCAGCAGGGGAAGATGCTAGAGTTTTATAAAAAAAATTATTTCAAAATTGAAAGCTATAGGTAACCTAACATAAGCATTTATAACCACCTCCCTGATAACTACAGCCTATATAGCACAAGGACTAGAACAGGGCCCCAAACTGCAGCAGAGGAAATTCAGAGAAGAGATTAGGAAAAATTTTGTGACTACAATGGTAATTAAGCTTCAGAACAGGCTAGCTAGAGAAGCTGTGGAATCTCCATCCTTGGAAATTTTCAAGAACAGGTTAGAAAGACTGGGATGATTTAGTCAGGGATGATCCTACAGGGGGCAGAACTGGATGGCCTCATGAGCTGGAATCCTGGTTTTCTCTGATTAAAAAAATGCCTAATTTTTGGATTAAAAAAAGTAACCCAAAATCCAATTTTTTCCATAATTACAATGAAACGCCACTATATAATAGATATTAGGACTGTGTAAAGCTTCAGTAGCCAATTTGATTCAAAGGAGATTTGGCCCAATTCAGGAACCAAATCTCCAAATTCGAATCAAATTGGAGACCAATTAAAAGCTCCGAATTGATTTGAAGCATTCGAATTGCTTCAGAAAAGTATTGGAAAAGATTTGTCCATAGACTAAACAAGCGGCTGACGCAACTGCCTCCAGTGGGTAAATCTGTTGGGGTTGGGGGAGGGCAGAATTGGGGCTCGGACAAGCTGCAAAGCTGGGGTGGGGGGCGGGCACATTACTCAGGAAGGGGGGCAGAGGGGTACGTGACGTGGGTGCGGCAGCACTTGGAGTGGGAGCTCTGCCCTGCTGCTGCTTGCCCAGCTGGGCTATAGGGGCAGGATGTGGGCAGGACTTGCTCCCAGAGGAAGACAAGCAGCAGCAGAGCGTAGCCCTCGCTCCCAGCGCTGCCGCACCCGCATCCCACACCATTCCGTGCCAGCTGGCAAGCAGTGGCAGGGCCGAGTCCCTACTCCCAGCGCTGCTACGGTGCAGCAGCGCTGGGAGTGGGCTACGCCCTGCTGC